TGGGATGAGTCCTATAGGGGGTCCTATATGGGAATGGGATGAGTCCTATAAGGATTTTTTTGGGGGGATTGGGTTGAGTCCTATAGGGAGTTTATATGGGGATGGGATAAGTCCTATAGGGAGTTTATATGGGGGTGGGATGAGTCCTATAGGGGGTCCTATATGGGAATGGGATGAGTCCCATAGGGAGTTTTTTGGGGGATTGGGATAAGTCCTATAGGGAGTTTATATGGGGGTGGGATGAGTCCTATAGGGAGTTTATATGGGGGTGGGATGAGTCCTATAGGGGGTCCTATATGGGAATGGGATGAGTCCCATAGGGAGTTTTTTGGGGATTGGGATAAGTCCTATAGGGAGTTTATATGGGGATGGGATAAGTCCTATAGGGAGTTTATATGGGGGTGGGATGAGTCCTATAGGGAGTTTATATGGGGGTGGGATGAGTCCTATAGGGGGTCCTATATGGGAATGGGATGAGTCCCATAGGGAGTTTTTGGGGGATTGGGATGAGTCCTATAGGGAGTTTATATGGGGATGGGATAAGTCCTATAGGGAGTTTATATGGGGGTGGGATGAGTCCCATAGGGAGTTTATATGGGGGTGGGATGAGTCCTATAGGGGGTCCTATATGGGAATGGGATGAGTCCTATAAGAATTTTTTTGGGGGAATTGGGATGAGTCCTATAGGGGGTCCTATATGGGATGGGATGAGTCCTTTAAGAATTTTTTTGGGGGGACTGGGATGAGTCCTATAGGGAGTTTATATGGGGATGGGATAAGTCCTATAGGGAGTTTCTATGAGGATGGGATAAGTCCTGTAGAGATTTTATGGGCTGATGGGATGAGTCCTGTAGGGAGTTTGAGGGGATGGGATGAGTCCTATAGGGAGTTTACATGGGGGTGGGATGAGTCCTATAGGGGGTCCTATATGGGAATGGGATGAGTCCTGTAGGGAGTTTCAGGGGATGGGATGAGTCCTATAGGGAGTTTTTTGGGGGATTGGGATAAGTCCTATAGGGAGTTTATATGGGGGTGGGATAAGTCCTATAGGGAGTTTATATGGGGGTGGGATGAGTCCTATAGGGGGTCCTATATGGGAATGGGATGAGTCCTATAAGGATTTTTTTGGGGGGATTGGGTTGAGTCCTATAGGGAGTTTATATGGGGATGGGATAAGTCCTATAGGGAGTTTATATGAGGATGGGATGAGTCCTATCGGGGGACCTATTTGGGGATGGGATGAATCCTATAGGGGGTCCTGTATGGGGATGGGATGAGTCCTGTAGGGAGTTTCAGGGGATGGGATGAGTCCTATAGGGAGTTTATATGGGGATGGGATGAGTCCTGTAGGGAGTTTGAGGGGATGGGATGAGTCCTACAGGGAGTTTATATGGGGGTGGGATGAGTCCTATAGTGGGTCCTATATAGGAATGGGATGAGTCCTTTAAGGATTTTTTTGGGGGGGATTGGGTTGAGTCCTATAGGGAGTTTCTATGAGGATGGGATGAGTCCTCTAGAGACTTTATAGGCTGATGGGATGAGTCCTATAGGGAGTTTTAAGGGATGGGATGAGTCCTACAGGGGGACCTATTTGGGGATGGGATGAATCCTATAGGGGGTCCTGTATGGGGATGGGATGAGTCCTGTAGGGAGTTTTTTGGGGGATTAAGATGAGTCCTATAGGGAGTCCTAGATGGGAAGTCCTGTAGGGAGTCCTGTAGGGGGTCCTGTAGGGAGGTGTGATGAGTCCTATATGGGGAGAAGATGAGCCCTATAGGGAGTTTATATGGGGACTGGGATGAGTCCAAGAGGGAAACGGGATGAGTCTTATGGGGGGGCTGGAAGGAGCCCTATAGACAGATGGGATGAGCCCTATAGGTGGATGGGCTGAGGCCTGTGGGGAGGTGGAAGAGCCCTATGGGGAGAAGATTGATTCCTGTAGAGGTTCCTCTGGGAAGGCGGGATGACCCTCGTGGGGCGATGGGGTGAGTCCTACAGGGCACCCTATGGAGAGGTGGGATGAGAGCCATGAGGGGAGGGGACAAGTCCCCCGAGGAGGACACGGTGCTGAGACTTCCCCCCCCACGTTGCCCCACAGAGGAGTTCTCCAAGATGAAGGAGGAGGTGCCCACGGCCTTGGTGGAGGCCCACGTGCGGAAGGTGGAGGAGGCGGCCAAGGTGACGGGCAAGGCCGACCCCGCGTTCGGGCTGGAGAGCAGCGGCATCGCCGGCACCACCTCGGACGAGCCGGAGCGGATCGGTGAGGATGGCGGCCTGGG